CAGAAACTGCTTGTGCCAAAGCGGTGACCAGTTCCAGTCACGAATTGGTCTATCTTGCTCCAATGTCTGAGCGTTCAGTTAGCACAGTAACGAATCCGAAAACTCTACAAACTGTCGAATCGGCCATCCAAAGCGGTCGTTTCTATACACGTCCGACCTGGCCGGTTCAGTTGGTCCAATACCAGTCAAGTGGCAAATCGCCAACGATTTGTTACTATAATGTGGTCACTCTGGACGGGTCATACACGGACTTTAGCTTCGGTTCCCCGGACACGGCGAATATCAGCGCACCACCTGATGGTGGTAGTACATGCACTGACCAGAACGATTTTCTCATGGTCATACGGAATTCGATTGTTTTGCACAATCAGCTTCCAATATCCGTTAATTATGTGGTTGCGGTAAGTGTTTGAACCCACTGTTGGATGATGCCCTTCGGAATTCACGTGTTACTTTCTTCTTTTGACGTTCTTTCATTTACTTGCGGTTGGGGGACGAAATCTTTCTCATCCGTTTGCTCACTTGAACCAAATCATTTAACTGATTTTGTGAATGACTGTGGAACTATCATCTAAATTAGTGTTAGTGATATGCCAGTTTTCATTTCTGAAGTCTTTAGCAGGAACTGCAGCTGCACGGGTCCTGGTTACATTTGATTTTCCGCGAATATGCGCTCATATCATGCGGCAGATGACGAACAATGTAAAATGCGCTAAGTTCCGGATGGCTGTTGCTGTTACCATGTGTACGGATGTTACCTTAGGGTTTCCCTTGATTTTACCGGTCAAATTCTTCACACTTCATGATATTATCGGGAAACAGATAATTCATTTTTTATTCCAAGTTGTACCCGAGCACCATAACGGCCGGCTTCAGTATTATTTTCGGTGTGTGCATTCATTGCTTTATTTATTGTACTATTTTATCTGATGTGGCTTTAAATTGCCGACATTCGGGGCTATAGCCGGGTTGGTGGACCACTGGTAATTCACCTAGGGGAGTTTGCTAAAACCTTGATTCCAACCCAACCAAAAGGAGGCGTACGAACCACACCCACACCTTTTCGGTTGTGGCAGTGGTCACCGGCTCGATTGTGTGTTGATGTGTATTGGGCATCTTGGACGTCTGACCCCGTCCGAAGGTTGTATGATCCGATGAACTGGACACCGGTTCCCAGTGGACTGCGGTTCTCACACACCGCCCCGCTGCCTTGCGGTTCAGGCTTTGGCTAACCGAAGGCTCCGGTTGTGAATTCCTCAAAAACATTCACCTGGGCAACTTGGCAGTATTCGGCCCACAAGCCACTCATGGAACATTTTTCTTTTTCATAAATATTATTGTACTATGATTTTCTTGGCACACAGTCTGTCCTCAAATAAGTGTGAAATAAAATATGGTAATATTGCACTCAGCTGTTATTGGTTACCCGTTCGACTCGCCTCCTAAAGACAAACATGGCAACATCCAAGGCATAATTCCTTACTTGTTTCAGATTCATTGTTTTCCTGTAATCTATCCCGATAAATTCCGCGTTCTCTATTCTTCACTGTCCCATACTAGGAGGTGTCCAAGGAAATCGACCCCGGTAGCCATGCGACGTTGCGAACTGTTCTTCCTACCAAGTCCGTCATTATTGTTTGGGTAAGTCGTGGTTCCGTCGCCGACTAAATGTAACAGGATTAAATTTGTGTGGGTGAGTGGGTGGGACGCTTTTTGAGGAAATTGAAGCAATCTTGTTCCCACTATGTACTTGAATAGAGAACACAGCAGCACAGTGTCGCACGATTTAATTCTGTCAAAATTTCGCTGTATCTCTTCAGATACATACTACAGCCAAAGAATATAATGAAAACTAACAAGTAACAGGTAGCGTGGATGAGTTGTTGTTGGTGTTATCTTCGTTCATCTTCCTACCAAGGACTAGAATTTTAAATAACTTTTTCTGTTTGCACAGTTCATACTACCATCGTTTTACCGCAATCACCTCTGCAAAGTGGTGCGAACGAGAGTTTTGCGTAATGAGGGTACTTTTGAATACCCTGGTCACGTTCGCTTGATGCCCAATCTCCGACACATGACGAACGATAGATGACGCAGGATGGTGAGCGCCCTTGGGTTGACCTTTGACCTTGATCATTCTCATGTGATAACCAAAGAAAAAAATCTTGGATACTGGAAGTGTCACAACAAGGTCATCTTTTTCGGTTGATCCTAATCATTCGCCGTCATTCGAGCTTGTGTTGTAAACTCACCCCGTTGCCTTGCGAGTCAGGCTTTGGCTAACTGAATGAAGGCTCCGTTTGTAAATTCCTCAGGAAAATTTATCTGCCTTCGCCTGGACAACCTGGCGTGTATCACACCCACAAACAATTATGGAACTTTTTTCTTTTTCATAAACATCGTTGTACTGGGAGTTGTCTNAATACGATTATATATGTTTAGACGAAACATGTAGTAGTTGAAAGCGATAGCATTGTGTATCTTGACTGCACACAATAAACGACTCAATAGGGGAAGTAATGGCAAGGAAGATGCAAAAACATGATAAATTCACTCAACCTTGAAGTGCTAGAAGGCGATATAAAGACCTTGGTTTGTAAAAGTTTAGCAGCAACTCGATGGTTCGTGGCATTATCGATTTAATAAATACATTCCGCTCTTGTAGCTTCTCAATTCCGGTTTCGTTGTAATTGCAAGGTATTTATGAGGGGTTACTCTTCCCCCCAATATCTACGTATGGTTTTCCATGCCACATCTGTTCATCATTGGTTAAAATTTGCGTAATTTCCTCTGCCCTGGATAAGGAATTCCCAATCAATGCGCTGTTCACTAAATATCTACCATGGCTAATTTGTTAGCAGTGAATCTAAGGAACGTATGTTTCACGATTTATGTCAAGGCAAATTATGCTGCATCTCAACTGGTAAAACACGGCAGATAACAACACTATATAGTTTTTTACCACTGTCTAGGCAGGGATAGTGTGACTGACAGTTTTTGTTGCATACGGGCCGGGGTTCGATCTCGTAAGTGCAACCGACTCCGCGAACCTAAGCGGCCGGGGGCTTGCTTTTAGCATAAATAATCCTTAATCGGTCCGGACCATGAATCTTCATCAGCAAATGTCCAGCGATAGTTGACGCAGGTTGTTTTTATGTTCGGTGTCCCTGGGTAGGGATGGAGGTTGGTAATGGTGTAGTGTTATTGATTTTATAAGTAATGGATGATGCGTGTGTGTAGGTTTGAGGGGTCAACTATCGCTGGACATTTGCTACGTGATTCGGTGAATCGGCGTTCAATCCAACATGGGAGCCATGATTGCAACTGTCTATCATCATCGTACAGCGAGATACAGTGAAGCGAGCTTCACTAATCGCTGCAACTGTCTATCTACTTTGACAATTTTAAGGTGCCCCGCATCCACATTCAAACTGCTAAATGATGTGCGATTTGGCGGACAGTGGCAGAGGTTGCTTTGTTGGTGGAGTGGGGATGCTTGTGGTTGTGTACCGGACAGAAATTATGAGTGCGTCTTACAACCTTTCTCAATCGGTCTAGGAAGATTAAGCTGATATGGTCACCTTTGATGGGAAGGTAAATGTAGATCTCCTTCGTAAGGACGTCATATACTACTGATTTTTGTTCCCGTGCCCAACCGTTCTCGACACGAATTGGTTTGAGTTGATCTAACTCCGCATGTATGCTATCCCCGCTGCGAATGTCACGCGCTCAATGAAATAGTGTTTTTACTATTCAACGCATGTGGTACATCGACACGAAAATACGGAAATATTGACCCGTCCATGTACTCTTGTGTTATGCAGTCCTACGAATCGTTCCGTCTTGCCTCTTTGTCATTAGAATGACTAAAAATGCGAGGCGATCGTCTAGTTCTTCTTCCAGCGAGAAATAACTATTCGGGCGCAAACTTTTGTTGACTAGAAGGAAGAACTTACTTGCTGTCGGTCTTGTCCTATCAGCGTATCTTTTGAATAATGTAAAGTGATCTAAAGTATGTATCACCTCGTTTTCTAGCTTAGTGACGAATAGATCCGCGAGGGTACACCCCAAGGGGCTTCCCATCGTCTATTTTTAGGTTAGCTTTTCTTTGGAAACTGAAGCTGATGTGAATTAGAGTAGGAGATGTTTCACCTCCGTCATCGGTTGGTTAACTTTCAGGTAATGCTACTCGATTATTTGATGTAGTGGCATGATAGTGAATAATGATTCAATAACCAGGGAAGTCAGTAATTCATCTGATATGAACCTAAGTTAGCCGTGCTCCCTCGCCAAGCTCATCTCGGGAAACAAATGCTTCAGGGAGGAAATTGTTTGCCACTGTCGTTTCAGGATTCTCTATTTTCATTGATGAAACACTTAAGGGTATGGCGGAATTACATGGCTTACGGTAACCATGACAGGAACCGACACCACAAATTTCTATTCTCTAAATTCGACGCGAAATTGCTCTATATATCTTGTTTGTAGTGAACCTAGCCTTAGCTTTTGCGATCCACCTGAGAGTACAGAATTTCGTCTATTCCGAATGTCTAGGGTATCTCTCAGATACAGAAACCGTCAGTTCTTAGTGTCATTTCCGTTTTCCGCCCTCCACTTTTTGATCTTCATCGGCTGCCTGAATCTTCATACGTCAACTCAAGAAGCTGAGCTATACATCAGCGACCACAGCTCATCAAACCGCTAAAAGGGCGGGATGTACGAAGTTGAAGATAGCCGACACTCAAAACCTCACCGAGATTTCGTGTGACAGACGAAGTCTGTTGTCTGATTTGACGGTTATGAGGCGAATCTATCGAAAAGGGAAAGATAAGTAAACACCTGGACTGAATCCATGCTAATCGATTGTTGAATGAGNATGAGCTCATATTGAGCTACCGGCAACCATGCACTGCTAGTTTGAATTTCAAGGCTCATTTCAGCTGGCCCCTATCGACATCAGACCGGTTGATGCCAATCCTCCATCTGAAATGGATGTTTCTAGGGAAATAACCTATCTCAAAACGTATAATGCCTCCGGCCAGACGGGCTGTCCTCATCGGCTTTTAGGGATGGACATTCAGCGTTAGTCTTGAAGTTGACGAAACTCCTGGGCTCAATATGGGAGAGGTTACAGGTTACGACTGAATTGTGTGAATCGGTCATCTTACCTATTTACAAGAATAGTGACAGATCCTCTTGTGAAAATCACAGAGGAATTAGTTTAATTAACATTGTCTCTAAGCTTCTCGCTGGGATCATACTCCGTCGATTCTGTCATTTGTGGTCGTGTACGCTTGGGAATCAGGCTGGTTTTAGATCTGGTCGAGGTTTTGTCGACCACGTCTTCACTCCCCCCCCCCCCCCCCAAATTCTTTAGCACCTATATCCTTTTCATAGACCCACCATTACTGTCTTCCTCAGTCTGAAAGCGGCCTCCGACTCTGCTGACCGCTCCAGACTCTGGCGCTGCCTTTCTCAGAAGTTAATTTCAATATTGCGATACTAATTGCCGCAGTCGAGTCCGAGCATGCGGCACTTTTTCTCCTGAGTTCATCACAGAAAGCGGCGTTCATCAGGGTTGCCCAATCTCTTCTTTTCCATTTAACTTTGTTTTAGATTCCATTCATGAAACAGCCCTATGCATGTATGAGGATAGCGGCATCGAGTTTCTCCCGGATGGCAGACTATCTGAACTGGATTATAGAGAAAATATTACACTGCTAAGTGAAGATCGGGGTGAGTTGCAAGCTTTTCTGCATAACTGGAGCGCCAAAATAGCGTTGGACACCTTCAAAGTGTAAAATGATACTACAAGACTGGGTTGGTCCAGTATCCAGGTTCCACCCTAACTGGGGAAGTAATACAACAAATGGAAAGTTTTCGATATTTCGGCAGCTATATCTCACCCGGTGGACGCATCACAGATGAAGTGTCAACTCGCCAAAGTGAGCTATCTGTCGCACCGTCGCGATATCCGACTGTCTGTGAAGGGTCGATTGTATGCTGCGGCACTCTGCGTTTGGCTTTGCAAAGGCTGGAGATACATCGTTGAAATAAAGCCGAGCGATGCTGGAACCTTCTCTTCTACCATTATCCCGCGAAATATATCCTGTTGACAACTTATCCTTCTCAAGGAAAGTAAATATTTGGGGTATACAAGCTTGACTTGTTGAAACTCTTCCCAATTTCCCTTTCGTTTTTCAATTATTTTTCCAATAAGACCATTTCCACAGTTTGACAGCTAAAAGTGGGATTTTTTTTCTCGTGCAGATCAGAGAACCTTAAATATCAATCATACATATGACATATGAACATGGGGTTGGGGAGGCGCGCAAGGGTCGCGTAGCACACACAGAATCGGAACTCGATTCGATCGTCCGTGCACAATGATCACGCCGGTATAGAATTTATCTTCTGTTGAGAACTGATTATTTTATTGTTCTTTAGTTTATGGTTCGTTGTGTGTATGAAACATCATTTCTCTCCCTTACCCCCTACCCCCTCCCCCCTCCCGTTTAATCCACCCACACTCTTGTATTCTCATCCAGTTCGATTACGACGGTCGAGTTTATCGGGGCAAACTGGAGCTATCAAGCACAATGGATGAATTAACTGTGTGCACTTTTGAATCCCGTGAGGGTTACGAATTGCTAACCCTGGTGAGTGTTCCTATCGTTCTAATCTTAATTTTATTTTTACTGATAATATGCATCCGTTTGCATCAACTCCTCACCCGGTTTTATCCTGCATGCGTGTTACGCGTCTATATTCGCTCTTTTTTCCCTCTCCCTCTGTCTGGTCCTAGCATCTGGGATTGCGTAGCGTGACCGCAATGGGACAAACAGCGCTCATGTTGTACGCACCCTACTGGATGATAAACAAAACCGGACGAAATCTCACATACAAGGTGTGTTTGAAGAAACGAAAGCATTGGTTGTTCATCCTGTTCTTGTTACATTTCTATTATGCCTTGTTTTTGTACTTTTGACGGAATAATTTGTACGTGAGAACAAGTTGGTTTCGTTCATGCTTGTGTCGCGAAGGAACTTCATACATTGTGGACTGAAGCATCGTCTCCGATAATGCACTAGACATTTCCCTTCGAGCAAATGCCTACATTTCCTGCACAAACAACTTTGATTTAAAGTTGAATAGGATGATACTGTTGTGGGATTCTACTCACTTGTGAGTAGTAGGCAACTTTCGATGATCAAAATGTAACAAAACCATCAAGAGCCAAGTGATATGTTTGGAATAATAACTACTGATCGCTCTATACATTACCCTGTGTGTCGGAAAAAATTGCAATCGCACGTTTCTGATCAGGTTTTATGCATGCAAAATTACTGACCTCCCATCTGAAATCCTCGATAAACGACTATCCTCGATCAGCACCGTCTTCTGGAATTATAACAATAGTAGTAGTGGACTACATTCTCTCAGTTCATGCTCATTTAGCGCCTCGTAAATAAGAGGCTCCTTGTGTTGTAGAAAACTCATTCACTAATCTACAACTGATCATTTCAAACAGTTTTTAGTCTTCCGGAATCATTTGAT